TGAGGAGCAAAACAACAGGTGGGACCAGAAACACCTTTTGGTACCAGAAACACCTCTGGGACCAGAAACACCTTTTGGTACCAGAAACACCTCTGGGACCAGAAACACCTTTTGGTACCAGAAACACCTCTGGGACGTGTCTTTAAGCCGAACTTCCTCATGGCAGAGCACCCCCCCACACACACACACACACCCACACACCCCGCCCATGACTCCTGCAGGCTCTCAGGTCAAAGTGTGTCCAACACAGGTGAGGTGACATAAAGGTCACTAAAGGTGACGGAGATACTTTATTAAGGTACCTGAGAAACACATGTTGACTCTTTAATAAAAGTTTGTTTTATTTACAGATGAAACATTCAATTATTTTAATAGAAGAACTGCTACATGTTGCCTTATCCTGAACATTTAAACTGTTTAATATAAAGTAAAGTCTTTATAAAGCACCTCTCTTAGATATTAAACAAGAAAACAGGCGTGGCCTCAGAGCAGTGGCCCCGCCCCCTCTCTCTCTCACACACTGACAGGACCTGACACTTGGCAACGCTGAGCTGTGCAGCTGAAACTTCCTGCCATAAACACAAGTCCAGAGCCAGGACTGGGTCCAGGACCAGGGAAGGGTTGCTGGTTCCCAACCACYGCCTCTGGCCTCTGGTGTGTTTTCAGGTAACTGCTGGCTGCTCCGTCTCCCTCCTCATCACTGTTTGGACCTTTCTGTTCCTGCAGGACCGGGTCTGGACTCTGTGACGTCACAGCTTTAGTGGGGTCAAAGGTCAGTAGCTCTGAGCCCATAGATATATAAAGGTTAGATGAGTCATCGCGAAGCATCCTCACACAGCGGCCATCTTGGGACAGTCAGCATCACTAGCTGCAGCTGTGGTAAACAGGTGAGTGATTTAACAAAAACCTGTTTAATTCACTGGAATCTGGATGGTTTAAAACAGTTTAGTTTAKTATAAGAGTTATAAATGTGGCTGTGTTTGGAGTAATCAGACGACAGTTTGTCTTTATTGTTTTTTATATTTATAGTTGTGTCACAGCTAACCCTGCTTGTTAAAGTTGCTAATCAAGAATTTTAATTAGTTTATATTACATAAATATTATATTACATTAGTTCATATAAGTACTATTATTGTTGATTATGGAATATTACACTATCAGCCTTCAAAAAGATGTCTGTCAGTTTATAAACATGCATTTCTAAATACATATAAATATAACCTTACTGTGTATTTCTTTACCTACAGTATCTGCATAGTATTATTTCCATGTGAATATCCAGTTTAAGTACGCTGTATTATAACACTGATAGTACTATTTTTTATAGACTTGTGTATAATTTTTCTTTATATTTTTCTTTATAAATTCCTGTAAAAGTAAAAGTATTCTGTGTATATATTGATATTACTTTACCTATCAAAACAACATAATTATTATATGAATGTCTATGA